GGCTGTTCACGAGAGAAAGAGATTCAAGTTGTTCAAGGGCTTGATTTTGTATGAATTTGATCAGTGAGATGAGCTAATGAGGATGGTATGATTTAAATTAAGTGGTTCGAATTCTCTGGTCCGTTGACTCCAAACACATAAATCTGGAAAGGTTCTGAATTCAAGTACTAGAGTACAATGTGTGCAAACATATATAGAAACAACTCGTCAAATGTACAAAATAAAAGTTTTATATGTATTAAACTGTAAGTCACAAGTACGGAACTCATTCCCAACAAAGAAACATGGGTAAATTACAATTTCATACTTTAGGTTTGGGGTCTATTTCAATTCCTTACAACATCTTTAAAACATTTCAATTTCACACATTTACTTATCATTTTATTTCAATTTCATACATCCGTTAGAAAATCTGTTAAGTAAATCGTTAAGTGATGACGTGGCAAATTCATACATCCATTTGTGCTGACGTGGCTGCCACATTTATGCCACGTGGCTAAAAAATTAATAAAAATTTAAAATAATTATTTAAAAAAAGTTAATATAGAAATTTAAAAATAAATAAAATAAATAAAAAAACACAACCCAGATCCCCTTTGTCTTCCCCAGAATCCCTACCCTCCTACCCTACCCCCATCCCCCATTCCGCATCACCCGCAGTCACTTCTCTCCCCACTGCGCCTCCATCTCTGATGAGAACCTCCCCATCGAGCTCTTCCCCCAGTATACCGGCAAAGTAGCTCCGTGTCGGAGCTCGTCGAATCGACATTTGGGGTTCATTTTTCTCCAAACCTAGCAGAGCAACGGCAAAATACCTGGTGCTGACAGAGCCACGTGTCATCTACTCCCTTCCTCTTCTTTTCAAAAAGTCATCCAAACGACACAACAATAGTAGTTTCTCAATCCCTTCCTCAGAAACCTAACATAGCAGAAGAGTAAGTTTTTAGCTTACAATGAAGCCCTCATCGCGGTACAGCGTACGATGTGCGTTCCTTGACCTCTTTGCACTTCTCCAACCCGTCGTCTTCCATAGAGCTCAAGCTCCCCATTTCCTCACTCGCCGTCGTCAAATCCAAGCCCCTGAATCCCAATATCTCCACGATAGTGAAAAAGTTCATGGAAAAGCAGTCGACTTCCAAGGCCAAGTCGATTAACCCGACAGGGCTGGTGATTCTGTTGGATTTGATAGCAGAAGAATTGAAAAACAGGTTAAAAACGGGTCGGGTTCGAATTTAGCCGCGCTGCATAGGAAACTGTTTAGGAAATGAGCGGGAACGACCTCGTCGGATAAGAAAAATGAGGTGAAGGCTTTGGCTGAGGGAGAGAGAGTGGTGTGGGAGAAAGAGTGTTGGGGGGTAGGAGGGTGCGCATGGGTGGGGATTATGGGGAAGAAGGGGATCTGGGTTTGGGGTTTTTTTTCCTTCTTTTTCTTCCTCCCTCTTCTTCTTCTTTTTCCTGCTGCTGCTGCAAGTTTTTTTTTTTTTTTCCTTCTTCCTCCCTCTTCTTCTTCTTCTTGCTGCTGTAGCAAGTTTTTTGGGTTTTGGATTAGGGATAGGGATGTGGGTCGCCCAGGGGGGGGTGGGTGGAGGATAGTGGGTTTATTTTATTTTATTTTTTCAATTTTTTTTTTTCTTTTTTTAGAAAATTCAGGTTTTAAAAAAAATTAAAAAATTATTTTTATTTGCCACGTGGCAGACATTTGGCAGCCACGTGGCGTATATGTGGCAGCTATGTTAGCATTTAATAGATCAATGGATGGAAAATGTAACAGATGTATTATTTTGAAATAAAATAGTACTTAAGGTATGAAAGTGAAATGTTTTGAAGATATTGTAAGGAATTGAAATAGATCTCAAACCTGAGATACGAAAGTATAATTTACCCGAGAAACATTGTATTCTCCAACTCATGTTTCATAATAAAAAACAATATTGCAACAAAAAGTCATCTTCTAGTAAAAAACAATATTCCAACAAATAGTGCATGTTATTTTTACTGTATACTTTAAAAAGTAAATGTATAACAGCAGCCAGAAAGAAAAGATAAAGGTGGAAAAGAATCATAACAGGAAGCAGGGAATCTCCATGACTTGAATGATGTGTCCAAGTCGACAAATCGTGTGGGGCTTTCAATTGCCACATGGCAGAATTTGTAGGCCACATTTTTGTCACCTCGATCAACTCCCTTTTACATTCCCCACTCCGGCTTCCTGTAAATGTGCTTGGTAATCATCTTGGAGATGGAGCTCCCCAATAATGGGGTAGCTTGACCAATTTTACAAGTAGAAGTGCTATGGAAACTATCTTAATAATGACACTTTGTATGAAATTTTTATCGCCTTATGTTTTTAACAAAATGTTTTATGATGTTGGTAGAGAAATTATCATTAAATTATGAGGTAACAGAGAGTTTATAGAAAGTCTCCATCTAATAGTATCCTTAGCATTTTTCATTTTACATAAGTAGGCAGAATGATACGTAACTATTTAATTCCTTTGTGAAATGATCCGACCAACCACGTAATCAAAATGCTATTTGTGAGAATACGAGGACGAAAGTACCAATGGTGAGTAACCAAACCATGCAAGGGCTTATAAGAGGTTGGGTTATTCCCCATATTACCAATTACTTTTATGGTGAAATCTCAAATTTTTTCATCATTTGTAAGTTTTTCTTGCAACTTAATTAAATTTGTATTTTAATAGTCACTTGAGCTTTTAGTTCGATTTTTTATAAGTTGATATTATAAGTAAACTTTAATGGCAGATAATCACACACTACTTTTATCTAATTAGTTCAACTCATATCGACAACTCTTAATTCAATTTTAAGTCCCTTGACTCATTTAAAATGTTACAATTCTCTTGAATTGTCAAATATGTTCGATTTTACATCAAATTAAAAATGATTTCCATTTGTTTTTATTGGTGGAAAACTAACAAAATGTATGATAAATTTGAAAACTGAAGATAAGTTTTGCACACTTTTAAAGAACTAAGGAAGATAAACAACTAAAACTAAAAATCGAGAGGGCAAAATGGGAAAATGACACAAGCCTAAAACCTAACTGACAGTGTCCGGCACGCGCACACTGAGCGAGTGACAGAAGAAAGGTAAGTAGGTTTAACTGGAGCACGGAAAATCCAGTGAGACGGGGACGGGTCTTGGTATTTGGGAATGGGAACAAAGGCCGTTTTCAAGCGCGTGGGTTTCAGTTAAATTTTGACCTTTTTCACCTTTCGGTAAAAATGGAGCACACTTTCAACACTGTAACAAAGTTTTATGTGAATAAAATGTTAATTCTAGTACTCACAGTAGTGGTCACTACTATTAATTAATTTCTTTTTATTTTTACTTTTATTTGGGAATAAGTACCTATTAATTTCTTTCTCTCTTTTTTAGAGTTCATATATTTATGAGGATGAATTCCAGACTCGTATTATACATAACATGTCTTGGGTTTATTTGCTAAAGTTGATGAATCACATGATAATGAGCATGATGAGGTTGAAATGAATATTGAGTTTTTTAGCCCATAGAGTAATCGATTGATATGATGAAACCACCAACTAATCTCATTTTAATGGAAAAAAGTGAGTGTCTGTCATCCTATTCCCATGCCATGATATTCCTCCATAGTCCTTACACATACAACAAAGAATACCAATGTAGTCGTTTAGGTTAAATCCATAGATGAGATATCGACAATTAAACAGAAAGAACATTTGCGTTCTACAAAGCATTCATGAAGCGCAACATAAAAAAATCATCTTCAACTCAAAATAAATTGACAGGGTGAGTAAAAACTTTAGCTCACATGATATTGAATGAGATTTGGTTGTTTTTGTTTTGGTTTGTTGGAATTTAAATTATATACTTCCGGAAATTTAATTTGTATTACAAAAACGTGTATGTACAAAAATGGGTTGTTGTTGGTCAATAAATTGCACCATCTCTGCATACGCAAGTCTGAATTCTGATCTATCAGACTCTACCATAAGTACAATTACTTCCTACTTTTTCCCTGTATTGGCACTTTAAGTTGTGGGGGTTTCCATGCCCTATTAATTTATTCAATTTTTACTTCTCGGTTACTTTTTCAAATTACAGTTTAACACATGGATTGAAATTTTTTGTTTTTTGGGAGTTTAATGAGTTATTTTTTTCACAATGAGACTGCGATTTAAAGATCAAGTTCTACAACTCCTCATATTTAACGAGTCAAACAATATTATAATTCTAATTGAACAAACATAGTTGACACTAGATCATTCATTTTTCACCAACTAGATAAGAAAAATTTCATGACATAGGTACACCATTACCAGGACATTCCTTGTCAATGATATGAATATGTATCAATATTTGTCCATACAACATTATATTATTTACACAAAATACGACAAAAATAATGTAGTCGTGTCATCTAAATTGCTTTCCAGCTTGGAGGCAACATTGACCTTGATTGCATGGAGAAGACTTGAGGATATTGTAGGTTAGAAGTTGCCCTCACGAATCAATTTGTTTTTTCCTATTCTGGTGCAACCATATGACCCTAAAGATTGGTGAAAAAAAAAGAGCAAAAATTTAAAATTATTTGTTCGTTTGTGTAGGCAAAACGTTAGATTAGAAGCAAGCAACAGAAAAAGAAATTTAGGTTTTTAGCTAAAATATTTTTAAGATTAGTATAACTTCTCATCTTGCTCATGAAAATTAAATTAAAATCAGTAGAAGTAGTCCAGGAATTTATATACCGTCAATTATTTTGATTTTTCTATGAAAAATCTCCATTACATTGAAAAACAAGTGATGAGGTTGATTGAACAAAAATACTATCAATTTAACAGAAATTTTTTCATAAAATGGTCAAAATGATTAATAATAGACAAACTAAATGACTACTTTTATAAATCTTCAATCTCAAAGTTAAGAAAGTATGACAATTTTAAAAATCTTTTTGAAAAAAAAAAACCAATTTTTTTTTTAAAGTAAACAGAAGATGTTCAATTTCTTCCATTTTATTCACAAGTAATGAGTATCCATCACATCTCGCACTTCTTTTTTTCTTTATCCAGTACAAACAAAATATATTAAAAAATTAAGCTTTACAGTAGTGATTTTCTCCTCTACTTTTATCCACTCATAACTTCTTGATTTATCTTATTTTTTTATTGAAAAAGATTTGTCAACAAGTTTGATGTCAAACTAACTTGACGCCTCCGAAACTAGGTCAGCTCTTCCTACAAAAAAAAAAAAAATCACAAAGTAGTTATCTTATGAATGCTTTCAACTCTTTTACGAAATAAACTTACAATACACGAAATATCATTGTAGTAATATTTTACATTAATCACGCACTATCATGCGTATTTATTAATTTCTAACTTACAAAATTTATGATTAGCTTAATATTACTAGTGAAGTTCATGCTAAATAACCAACAATTTTATAAAGTCAAAACCAACATTTAATTTCCATAATCTTACCTGATTACCAAGATCACTCAATCCAGAAACTTCCAAGCTTGCCAATTGAGAAATTTGGGGATGAAAAGAACTGAAACCTGCAAACGTGTGGGGTTACTTAGTAGGTGTCAACAAAATCACCCTAAATTTGTACCTGCCTGCTCTCCGTGTGATGGGGAGAATTAGACAAAGAAGAATGTAGGAAATTGCAGCCAAAAAATGTGAATAAGGAAAGAAAGTGAGAGGCCAACCTTCTTTTGGATTGTGGGCAAAACACAGTGTCTTTATCACCCCCATCAGCAGTTTTTGTGCCCACTTGCAATTTGGGGGACCAAAAAATTTTCAACTGATAAGAAACAAGAACAAGACAGAGATCTTCTCAGCAATACAACTTTAATCGGGAAAGAAGACGGGTTTTATGCCCATGCTTACAAAAGTATATGCGCAGGTACATGTTCGATCTTTTCATCAATGCATGACTGGAAGTCAACTGAGGACTAATGGAAGGGTTCTTGGCATAAAGATTCGATCTTTTTCATACGACAACATTTTTTTGTGTGGTAAAGAAAACTCTTTGCTTGTGTTATCAGTAATAATGATGTGGGATTGTTTAAAATGAGGGAAGATGGCGAATGTTACCTGAATGATTGAGGAGGTGAAACGGGGTTGGAATTCCTAATAATTTTGTGTTTCAGTAACGACACTTTGTGTTTGTAGGATTTCCTGTTTACAGAGCGTCGAAATTAGATTCAATTATAAAGTGACGTGTGAAAATACGCAAGGAAACCATATCATAGAATGTTACCTTATGTAACAGTGCAGTAAATCTGATTCAGATGTCCTCAGCTGAGCATGTAACAGTAAATTATCAGAAGGGAAAGGCCACCCTTCAATAGAAATTAAGGCCGGTGTATGAATGAGAATGTGGCAACAGCTCCTCTACCTCGATTCTGGAACTGGAACAACTCATGCTTTTTTTTATTCGGCTTCGGTTAATGGACTCAACCTCTGCCAGGAATACGCCGTAGACTGGCCTATGATCTGAGAATCTCGACTCCCCACGAACATAAGATAATTGATGGAGGCCTCTTCCATACCATAATATACGATCACACCTTCACATGCAGATAGCAGATTTAGATTTTCATAAATGCACAAAAAACGAAATGTTTTACTAAATGCCTGATAACTTTTCCATGTTTAATTACTCTCGAAAAGAATTCTACTAGAGATTTGTTATTACCATGCTGGAGTTCTTCGCTTCTCCTTGGTGTGCCTATCATCACCTGCATACCGATCTGAATTATTTAAATACTTGTAAGTCGGAGGGAAATATATCCTCCCTTCATTCCAACCCTCAAAAACGCGTCCTCTTCTTTGCTCTATTCGTAGCTGAGAGTATAAACCATTAAAATTTCAGATACAAGCCATTCGAAAGCAAGTCAAAAAAGACCACAACTCTTTTTTTTCTTTCCTTTTCTTTTTGGGCCCATGGGGGTACACAAGACTAACACATTTGAAAGAAAAGCACAATGCTTGTAGTGGAATAGGTAGCACACCTGGTCATTCTCTAACAATGCCCTCCAGTTGCGCATCTCAACAAGAGCTTTTGCAGAGCGGTAAGAAAGGGCAATGCGATAATTCAAATCCCCAAGCCAAATAATTCGACTGCACAAGGAAAATAATATTTGAACTTATTCACTCTAAGGCTAGTTTCTTAAAAATTATCAACTTCAAAGAGAAAGAACAGCAAGACTTAGTACATAAAGAAACTCGACAAAAGGGGTACTTACTCATGCTCTAGTATAGTTTGAGGAGAGTTTTCGTCTCCCATGCCATGAACCCAGGGAAACCTTGTCTTTCTAAGGATCTCCATGACATCAGAATTCCTACGAAGTTCATCTCCTTCCTTCTGCCCCGAGGTCAGATGAGTACAGATGAAGCAAAAGCTTGTTTGATGCAAAGACATGCTAATTGAAATTGAACCCTGGAAAATTCAAGAGAATGAAATTGCTGCGTCTACTAGAAATTCAACATATATACCATAGGAAACTATTATACCTTATTTCCGAGATAGCCCATTAATCCTCTTCCAACACAAGACACTTTCAAATTGCGAACATCATCTCGCAGATCACTTTTTACCCACACTGTCAAAAATATACCAACCATTTGTTTGCTGGCAACTAAGCAGTATCTCGAGTGGCCTAGCTGTCTATCTCTATCCTCCATTGAGAAAGACCCACTGTTGGACATTGGTGAATAATGTGTCACAACAGGTGAATCACCAGGTACATTCTCATCATCAGAGGAACCCCATCTGTAATTGGGATCATAATCACTTGGTCTGTGCCCAAACATAACCTGATCACAAACGCTGAATCGCCTATCATGTCTGGGTTGTGGCATTGACATGTCATTGTCCATTCTCATGCTGCGGCTCAAGGATTGGAAGGACCTGCGGTGAAAGAAAGAGGAAGCCTTCTGCCTAGTTGATCCCTCAAAGTCCGCGTCTAATTCTACAATCGGATCAGAAACTGGTGAAGGTGTATGGCAAGTACCGCTTGTTCCAGGAAGATTATTTAGAGTCTTCCTTATAAGAGCTAGCCACTTTTTAGCAGGCCCGATGTCTTCCGTGCCTAAAACATTGCCGGCATTCAAAGGAACTATTTCTTGAAACCTGGAAACCAAAAGGATTGATGAGGATTATATTACCACACAAAAACTTTGCACAGATTAGAGGGAACATATCTATATATGCAAGAACATACCCAAGAACATAGATATCAGCAGGAAGAGAGGTATGAAGCCAATCTTCGAGATTCAAACAACTTGGAGGAGATTTTCCAGCCACGTTCCATGTAGCTACAAAGATCCTGTGCCCCGTTGAACACCAATACATATTAGAAACGAAGAAAACTTGGCCTGAAAATTTTGGATTAAATCTAATCATCCACAAAGAAGAAGTGCTTAATTACATGACAATTCTAGTTTCATTTCATACCTATAATTATGTACATCTGTAACTTGTGATGCTTCCATATCAATCTTACCCCGCCGGATTCTATCCGAATGCCTCTTGCTCAACCTTTCTGTGGATTTAATTGGGGTTTAAGAGGGGATTAGTAAAAAATTAGAGAACTGGCCATAAAATTAGGAGATTCTAAACAAAAAATATGATTGTCTTCTTATGCTAAGAATTTTGTGGTCCAAAGCAAAAACTGAACCTGTTTTACTTTTCTTGGTTGTGCATGCCTCTCTCTCTGAATAGTTGTTCCTCCACTCTCCATCACCACCTGAAAAAGATAGCCCCATAAAGTTGTTAAAGCTGAGCTTTTTCCACTGTTGATACATTCAGATGATTCAAAAACCACCGCAAGAAAACAAAAACAAAACAATAAGAACAATTTTCAAGTTACAAAATAAATGAAGAAAATATTAATATTAATAATAATTAAAAGAAATTGTTTCAGAAAAAGAGGAAGAAAACAAATGGCTGATCTTGAAGCTGCAGAGTCCATTAAAATCTGAAACTTTTTGTACCCAAAATTGCAGTGATGCAGATTAGAGCAATGCAAGAGTGTTCAGAGCATAGAAGAATCTAAAAATGCAGAGAAATCCCATTTTTCATCTTGATTAAAATTCAGGATTCCCAAATCAGAAAGCCCAAATTTTTTATAGAATCCAAATCAATGCATGTATGTGACAATGACCTCCATAAACGGCGTCGTCTGCATCGAAGTCCTCGGCTTTGCTCTTGATGTTGAACCATTTTTTAACCAGTGTCTTGGGCCATGAAAGCTTCACAAAATAGCACCAAAAAAAGTCAGCAATCTCAGAACAAAAATGCAGAAAAAAAATTGGAAAAGTGGTGGCAATTTTTCAAACCTTGCTTTTCTTGCAATTCTCATCTGTCATTGTTTCACTGCTTCATAAATGGATATCTGTACGTACAGCAATGAATGCGGATGGAGAAAGAAGAAGAATACCAACAAAATCAAAACCCAGGAAGAAAAATTGGCTCAAAAGCTCTGGTTTTTTTCAGGGAAACAATGGGAAAAGCTCACTGATTTGCTTAGAAGAAGAAGAGAACAAAAATGGGTAGTGGGAAAATCCCCTGTTTTCTCAAGCAATGAAGGGAACCCAAGTGGGCATTTTATTTTCCCGGCTTCCAAACAGAAAGCTAAAAATCCAAAATAACCCACTGGGTACTTTTCTCCTGCACTCCCTCTTCTGCGTTTGGAAGGAGAGAAAACAGAGGAAACTCAAAGCGGAAGAAACAGAGAAGGACACAGCCCTTCTAAGGATAAATCAAGACAATGCAGGATTCATAGAGAGAGAGAGAGAGAGTGAGTGAGAATGTGGGAGTTGTCTGTGAGAAAAACCTCGTTATGGGTACAGAGCAAACAAAGTATCGAATTTTGAAGAGAGAATAAAGTGGAGTGGTACAAGAGTGAGAGAGAGAGAGAGAGGTTGGCTCTCTTTGTCGAGAGGCTTTTTACCCCAAAATCCAAGGCCGACTCAGCCCTTTGCTTGGGGACTTGGGAAGGGGGCACTCAGGCTGTGGCTTTAGAGATATTTTTTAGTGTGACCGGTAAATAGGATGGTACACCACATATTATTATATAAATAATAAAATATGTGTATTAAAAAGTTAATAACTTAAAAAATAAATTTTTCCACAATTCTTATTAAACCATGTGATGTATCATTTACGTTTCGTCACAATTAAAATTTTCTCGTGACTTTGGATTATATTTGGTCACCCACCCACACCCAAATTCCCTACAATGCCCCTCTGCCAAGCTTTCTCTCTCTAAATTCTTCCCTTTCTCTCTCTAAGTTAGGTTTGATCTAAACCCTAGCAGTTAAAGAACCCAACAAAATAAATAAATAAAAGAGCATAATGCATTTGGGAGTTCGTTACAACTCATGACACAACTCTGATTGGTTTGAATTACTCCAAATTGCCAGTGATACCGTCCGATTTTATATTCCGGTTGTAAGATTTTTTTTTTTTTTTTTCACTTTTCTGTTTGACTTGTGAATATTTTTTTAATTCAACGATGTATATTTACACTAAAGGTGAAACATTTGGACTAAATAACACAGTGAACTAGTCAACGAAAATCAAACCGAATATCTCTCACTTATAAGTAAAAAAAAATTCACTGACATTAAGTGATACTTGTGAATCATATGTGGTTGTGTTTTCACAATTGGTAAGAATGTTTGGAAGACTATTTTTTTAAGGTCAAGAATGTTGCCCCCAATGTGGGTTTTGTGCTTGCTTTGAGACAGCCATAGCCACAAGTTTTTATAGGGTTTCATAGAGGGTGTATTTTTGTAAAACAAAAAGAGGGTTTCTTCTCCAATGGATGTTCATTTCTTAGGTCTGGGAGATTGGAAGAATGTTTGTGGTCCAACTTAAGAAGCATTGCATATTTCTCCTCAAAACCTTCAATGGTTTGCTTTTTAGTTGAACACTAGGTTACATTGCCATGCCAAATTGAGGCCTTTTGTACTCCATCAAGACTTGTGTCCATGAGGACCAAGGCATTTGTCCCAATTTTGGGGTTTCAATTTGGGTAATTTCAACTTGCTAATCTGCAAGCTCACATTTCATTTTTTGGATGAATGTAAAGTTTGTGTCTTGAAAAATACCCCTTTCATAAAAAGACTCGTTTACACAAATATAAGATGAGAGATTTGTGTTTTTTAGGGATAGAGAGTTATTCGATTCTTTTCTATGGATGGAAAAAGAAATCCTGATATAGATATAGTGTTCAATTGAGTGGTAGCTATTGTCATTGAATGATTCTCTTTGAATGAATTCGATTTGTTGATCGTACTCCTCAGGCTAAGTGTTTCACGTGTTAGCTAGTCCCCTGATCTGCGTAAACCAATGTTCTAAAAAACGGCCTAAACGGCCGTCTAGGCGCTAGGCGGTGGTGACCCGAGGCGTTTTCTTGCAAATCGGTTGGGCTCTAGGGCGGCCGCCTAGGTGGGTGAGGCGGCCCTAGGCGGTGACTAGGCAGGCTAGGCAGTGCTAGGCGGCTAGGAGGCTAGGAGGTTTTTTTTTTTTTTTTTTTTTTTTTGAAATTAAAAAAAAAAAATCCTATCTACATTACTATATGTCCTTATTTTCCTCCTATTTTGCATTTTGTGTGGTTTAAAATTGGGAACTTATTGTACATGTGTTATCCTACAATGCTCCTCACTATGGTTCTATGACATATATGCTTAATGTGTTTTTAAATTTTGGACTTGTTGGATACTCTTTTTGCATTTTATTATTCTTTTATTATCTTATCCATGGATTTCATACAAATTTAATTTTTTTTGTAAGTGTCAATATGCACTTATTTACAAGATATACAAGAAATTTACCTAAATCCGCCTAGGCCGCCTAGGAGCCCGCCTTGACCCTGCCTAGCCTGCCTAGGTGTTAGGCACCAGCCCACCGCCTAATTAGTACCTAGCATTTTTTAGAACCTTAGCGTAAACCAAAAATGAACACTCATCGTTTACGGCTTGGACTACTAGGGTATCTAATCACATTCGTTCCCATGCTTTCACACTCCAGCGAGGAAAACGGGGCCTGCTCAAATGTTGAATAGTATACCTCAGTCATGATGTCTCACAATATATAGACCCCATTGCTGGTAAGTTTCGAGGTACCAATTGAATATGGTTCTCATTGTATTGTATTTGTGCCAACAGATCACAAGTATACAAGACACAAATCAAATTAACCAGTCAATATTTCAGATTATACACAAAGACACAAGACAGAAGCCAAACTAGTTCACTAGTTCACATAAAGGTAGGATCTGTTAGGCCATTTGAGGGTCCCTAATCGTAGCTTAACTCATTAATCTACAACCCACGCGATCTCCTAAGTTTTCGCACGTATCGATTATCATTGTTTTATGCCTAAGCTTGAACAAAGTAATTTCTTGGATTAAGCTGTCTGGGCTTGATTTCTTAATTGACTAATCCTCAACACACATGCATGCTACATGTGGGAGACTGTGTCTTCTTCCCCTATTAAAGTACTTAATGTTCATATTTTAAGGTTATTTGCAATCGATTGATTAGCATATTGTTTAATGTGTTTAAGGACTAACTAAACTATTAAGCTAGACAGCTAAACACACCAATGAAAAATACAGAATCTTCATTTCCCAAATGCCAAATGGGAATCCCTCACAAAACCCCATTGAATCCACTAGTCTAGTGAAACTACCCTCATAGACAACCAGTCCAAATATATGTTGTCAACGACTTGTCTAAAACACATAGAGCTGTCGTACAAAAGGCTCACTTTTCTACCAGCATGGCATTTGGCAAAATGTCTTTCATGTATAGTCATAAATAGAGGTATGACTGTGACATTGTGTTTGGCCGGTGTTGAGTCTCACACTAAAAAGTACCACGTCAACCTGTTTTGTATGGGTGATTGCTTATACGTAGCCTCACTAGTTACTAGTTCTATTGAGATCAATGTAGTGCCGAAACTAGGTCGTGACAAATGGTATACTAGAGCCAACCTGAGCACATAATTTCGTCGATATCGAGTCTCACATCGAAAAAGTACTAAGTCAACCTAGGCTATATATATAAGCGATTGCATGTAGTCTCACTAGTGATTGATATTGAGATCGATGCGCTGCCAATATGCCAACTGATTCATGATATATGGTATCAAAGCCAATCCGAGCGTTTGCAGGTGTTGAGTCTCACATCTAATTAGTACTGGGTCAACCTAAGTTGTATAAGTGATTTCATGTAGTCTCATTAGTGACTAGTTACTATTAGGATCGATACATTGACGAAATGACAAATAGATTGTGACAGATAATATCAGAGCTAACCCGGACATGCATAATTCACTATGGTGAGAAACTGAGTAGAACCGTAAACGTTGGCTAATGCATATCACGATGGCAGCACCCTGGGATAGTACAAGAAGTATGAGAAAGAGCAAATGCTAAACTTATGAAAGAGTTATGGGCAAAAGGCCATGAAAGAAGACACAGACTACCCTACAACTCGATCGAATTCTTTTCTTTTTACTGCTGGAGAACTGTTTCTTTTCTTTGACTCACAAAAATATTTCATCAAATTAGTGCGATCAAAGAGGACACCATATAATTGGATTCGATTAATGATTTTATAAATGTGGATATATGACTTGTACCTATCCTTTGGCAAAACGCTACGTAGAACATCCGTCCGCAACTTCATATTATTAGAGGAAAACTTAGGCAAATTGAACATGAAATCGATGGACACTCTCCCCTCTCTTCCTTTGTGGGTACTTCACGGCCGGCTGATGTAAAATGTAATTGCTCGCTCTCATGTCCCACCATAATTAGTCATCAAATTTTGGTTAGGGATAGTGGTTTTCTATTAAATTATCAAAGAGACGGGCTAAAAGTTCACTTCCAACAATACTGATATTGTTCCCAATTTGTTAATTACCACCTGCACAATCCGACAAATGTGAGATTTGATCATAAAAGGTCTTGATATTAGTTGACGTGAGATTAGGATATTTAAACTCTTTTTTTTCCCTCATCGTGCTGATGTGTGTGAACATTTCACACTCTTGTTTTCTCATTCTCTTTAATTTGTTTGGCAAATACCGCATAAACTGATGATAATGAATTTTACTTTAGAAGTTACAATTGTTTCTTTAATTTAGAAAAAGAAAAAAGATGATGATTTTCTCACTCTGATCATGAATGTAAGATAAATACTCCACCGTTGAAGTTATTGGTTATGTATGAAAGATTATCTCTCGATATTATTATCCCAACTTTGATTCTGATTCGATAATGATTTTAAACTCTATGTTCACAACTAACACCCAATAAATCTGATGCTAAAGTGATAAAGAAAAGGAAAAACTCAGGACCTCCGGTGCTAGGGTTTTGAAAAACTCGTCCATGCTTGAAAATCAAACGAGTAAACATCATAGATAGACAAACGAGGCAGTCAAAGGGATGATCTTTGATTTGATTTGTACTTTGGGCAAAGTATATATCTTCTTCTCTTAGTTGAGAACATGATTTTCTTTCTGTTTCTTTTGCTTTTCTAGCTTTGAAAAACCTTCTTAAGGCACCCCCTCCATCCTCTCTTTTGCCTAGCTACACAGCTTCATAACCAAAAATTTGTGTCAAAATTTTGGCTTTTTTTTGTGTTTTTGTGGGTATCTTTTGTTGTCATTTTCTTTCCATCTGCCAAAAGAAAGAGAGATGTATTTCCAAAGCACACCTCTGGGTTTGGGCTTCAAGTACTTCTTGTGATGATGTGGCTTCTGATGTAGACTCTCTGTCCTTCGATTCTCCGACATGTAATTGTACATTTATTATACATTACATGACCACATGAACTTTATATCAAAAGTAAAACTAGCTAGTTCTTAAGCTAAAAAATTGTCCTCGTGTATACAAAGTATAAAGGCTTGAAGCTCAATCCACAAGCTTTCGCATATAGGTTTTCGTTGGCCCAAACACTTTCGTGGGAATTATCGGAGATATTCTTGAGTAGAAAAGCTTCCATACTACATTATTTGTCTGTTCAATCCTACACAAGAGTGGCGCATCGCATTAGGGTCGAAATCGGAAATGTGTGGGACTCAAATGTATGAGGCACTCATATATATTTCTTAGACAAACGAGTGACGTAGTACAAAAATCTTATTCAAGAATCTATCCGATAATTCGAGAAATATTAAGATCAATTAATTACTTAACTATTGCAAGCTGATTGTTATCTTTCTTACTTGCATACCTTATAAATAATGAAGGTTCGAAATCAGTCCGTGTGCACATGCTCAACTTAACCCTAGCACTCATTTACAACCAAATGAACCAGGTAGAATCATTTGCTCATCAGATTAGAAAGTTTGCTAACAAAGAGGCCCCTATTAGTCACAAGAGTGGCTCAAGGTTCTAGTAGTACAATGACAAATATTTTCACTCAAAAAGGAAGAACACATCACAAATAAAATACAAATTGACTTGTTGACATTGATGTGAAGTTTTTCACTTTTGGGTGGAAAAAGGGTAGTGCTATTCACATTTATTTTTACCTCCTCTACACCTTTGTTAAATTTTGTCCATTGTTCTTCTTCAATACATTTGATTCTACGGCAAAAAATTGAGAGAAGTATATGAAAAGTAAAAACGAGTGTGTGGATAGCACTACTAGTAGGGAAAAAAAAACCAAAAAAACAAAAAACAAAAACCACATGCATTGCATTAATTTTTCATCCACTTTAGTGTCCTGGCTAAGATCTTGTCACTGTCTTTGCTTCCCCTTTCATTTTCCTAGCTTTTATCACCATCCAATGATGCAATTCATGGTGTTTTTTGCTGCCCATCAAATCTTTGTGGTCTGTCCATTTCATCATTTATTTATTTTTGTCTTCCTTCCAACCTTAGCAATGTTGGCTTAATCTGCAGAACTGGCTCTAGACTTCTAGTTAGAAATGTAAATTGAATTTTACCTACAATTTGTTTTACCAATGTAGGCCTTAAGCCATAAAAGCTAGATACAGAAACCTGCAGAACTTAACATGTGAAGCAATCCAATGTACCATATGATAAATCCGGCATCAAAGCAGTTAGGGAATGATGTAATTTGAATTTTCACGACCACATATGTACAAGGATAATAATTTACAAGCATCAGAGTGCATATTGACATGTGCATATATATGTCATATGTCACGTGCTACAACAAAATATGTATAGTATTAGTTCATATTTAATACAAATGCATTTTAGCGTAAATACAAACATGATTGTAGATACTAGATCGACAAGTCCATTCTTCTCTAGTCAAATACAGATTAATCTTAAATCATCAAATCGACAAATTCAATTGTTAGATCGACATGTTCATTCTTCTCTAGTAAAATATAGATTAATCTTAGCCTATCAATTGGCAAATTCAGCTCCTCCATAGGTGTGTTCCAAAGGCAATCCAATCACTACTGTATTCTGTATCAACCCTTAATGATTAAGCAGGAATATGTATATATAGCTGAACAAGTAAAAGTAGTACATTTTTCAAATATTGTGTACAAATGCTAATAAATTGCTGGTTCGCTCTATGTTTACAAGTAAAAGGTAATTGGAGTAAAAAGTGATTTGTTACAAAAAGTAATTAGAAAAATAGTTCGCTCTATGTATATATCTGATTCGTCACCCTCCCTTGGCGCCCCCGTGATATCAACTTGTCCCTCCGCATGTGGCACTGGCGTGAGTGGGGTTGGTGGCGCGGGTGGTGAGGGGAGTGGACTAATTGCATCGGGCGGCAGCGGTATGATGTCTTCCGGTGGTGGTGGCGTGATAGGTTCAGGTGGTGGTGGTATGATTGGTTTTGGTGGTGGTGGCATGGTGGCATGATCGGCACAGTTGGCGGCGAAGGCAATGGTTTGATTGGTTTCGCTGGTGGCGCCGGCGGAGGTATGATTGGTACAGGTGTTGGTACTGGTACTGGTGGTGGTGGAGACGGTAGTGGTACGATAGGTGCCGGCTGCAACGGTGGTGGCATGATTGGTGGTGGTGGAGGGTTAATTGGAGAGGGAGATATTGGGGTGGGGGGTGGGTTGGCGTTATCTTCAAACAAGGCACATTAGGCACCGTCGTTCCGACTGAAGTTCCTTCGGCATTGTTGCAAGACGCAAAAATCATCTTATCCCCCACCGAAGACTTTATATCAATCTGATCCATCACAATATTAAAGCCACCCGAAATCTTATCGCAGTCGAACTTAATCACCTTCTGTAGCGGATGTCCCTTCGAAATTGATGTACGTCGCATCCCCCCACCACCGCCGATGACTGACTTTTGCAGTTCTTGTCCCCATTACAATAATATTGATCAATAACAATAGGGTTTTGAGCTCCATCAAGTTTGATCCTCTCAAACGTTATGTTTCTCGCGTACCCGGAGCCATCCTGCCACGTCTTGATCCTTGGCACCGTTTATAATTCTGGTGAACTACAATCTTTCACGTAGATATTGTCCACTTTCTCAGTAGTTCCATCTGCTCCTAAACTTCCAACACTGTTTGCGAGAGACAATTGAGGTTTATATCATGGACAACATCACAATGATTCATTGGTCGAATAATAAAACATACATGTTGCATTAACATGACAAGAGACTATTTTAGTCATTCGAATGTGTGGGGACATACCTAATTCCATGACCTGGTCCGCATGCAAATGTTGGTAATATAGAGAAAGGAGCACCCCGGTTGATTACAATACAATCGTCGCTTGTTCTGATAAATGAATCTCAAATGCTGACCTGGCTTGAGAAGGAGATGTCAATACTGTCAGTGTTGGGACTGTTTTCTGGCGCATGAATGTTCAAATGCAAGACATCCACATTGTCACAACCGTTTGTACCGATATGTGCTTGTGGGCTGTTCAAAAAAGTGAATCCGCTGAGCTTAAGGTTCAAACAGTTGTTGAACTCAAGTGCCTTTTGTGGTTTGCAGTTGTCGTTGTCCCCTAAGAGCTTGTGCGATCTTGCGTCGTATTAGGCTGTGCTCCACCATGTAGAACCCTGACCGTCGATCTTACCCAAGCCGTTGACCATGAGATTTTCAACATTAGAAGAACTTAGCCAGCTACCCGACCAACATTCTTTCCATGCACCACGGTTAGGTGCCAACCCGTTACCTAAAACTTGAATATGCAGACTTTTTGGCTTGCATGGACCTTCAAATTTAATAGGTTGCAACATGAACGTTTTGCCCTCTGGAACAAGAAGCGTCAGTACACCGTCATTATCACCGTTACATATGTCACCCCATGCCTTAACAAAAGCCAGGGAATCATCGGTTCGTCCGTCTCCAACATCACCGTATTTGGTTATGTCAAATATTTTTTGGCGCGATGCCAATAAACAGCGGCCTAGTGAGGAAGAAGAAAACTAAAATGCGAACGACTGTGTTGAACCGCATTGCTTTCAAAACAACAGAGAAGTGTCTCAGATGCTAGAAGAACACAAGGATTGTAAACACTAATTACAAAAATGCAGTGTTACTATATTTACTTGGAATGTTAGTTTTGTTCCTAAATACAATTGGTTTTGGTTAATTTCCATTGAAACTTGGTACGAAGGGAAATCCTCTTACCGTTAGGAATAGTTTCCTGCTGTATCCCGAACCCACCTATCAACCACAACCACGACAAGGCACCGGAGAGAGACGGTAATTAATTTGGAAGCATGAGTAAGAAACTAATATAAAGGAAAGCACTAATTAATTCTACCTTAAACCCCACAATCATGCAGGACGCATCCAGTCATCAGGTTGCTCGAAATTCGTAGGCATATTTTCATGTTACAATTGGAATTGGCTTTAGTTTACTTCTTGTAACTTGGATGTTCCATCAAGGAAATCAAAGTGTTAGGTTTCCTGTTCTTAACAATCTGTCCGACCAAGGCTTCGAAATCAAAGGTTTATTCATGGCCAATCCTCAAAATAACTATTACGAAAAGTGAGTCTAACTTTGTTCTAATGTGAGGGAACGCAGCTCCAGCTAGCTTGACTAAGCCAGGACTTTATATGTGTTTAAATGTTTCTATGGTTGGTCGTAGTTTTAACTAGTTTTAAAGACCTGTAGGTGTAGCAAGCAATTACCAAATAAGAATAGTATGAATTTATGCTTAATAAAAACGCAATTATAGAGTAAATACAATCGTAACTGTAAACTTTAGGTTGACGAATTTGTCATTGCTCAGTAAAGTGTATACCATTATGTGACGTCCCATACTAATGATATAATGAGGTTTAGACAAAACAATTTAAGCGTCTTTCTTTTATTGACACAGAACACCAGTGTACCCAGGCCATGTAAACCCTTTCTGACTATCGTGTCACTTTCTGAGCTTCTATCACCATTCTAATCCATATAATTGTTACTTGCTGCCCATCAAATCTTTGAGGTATTTGTCTATTTCATCATTTATTCATTTTTCGTCTTCCTTCCAACATTAGTAATGGTTTGCCTTCGTCTGCAGAACTAGTTTTAGTTGGAAAAGTAAATTGAATATTTACCTACCAATTATTTTACCAGATGCAAGTTACTCAAGTTAAAAGCATGTGATACACAAGTTAATCAAAAAATAGCTGATGCAACAAGAACCGTCATCAGTGGACAAAACAGGTAGTAGTTTATATGTAGATTAGCACTGCCAGAAGCTCCACTTCCGGTGTAGATGGTTGTTGGCCTCGTAGGCTCCGTCGCTGAACACTGTAGACAAGGCACGTTGGGCACCGTAGTGCCGACATAAGTCCCTTTGGCGTTGTTACAAGTCGCAAAAATCTTCATATCCCTCACCGCTGGCATTATATTAATCCTATCCATCACAATATTATGACAGCCACCTGAAACTTGATCGCAATCGAGTTTAATCGCCTCCTCCGTCGCAGAAGTGCCTTCAAAATCGATGTACGTCACATCCGCCACCACCACGGCCGACGACTGACTTTTGCAATTGTTTTCCCCATTACAATAGTACTGATCAATAATGATAGGATATTGAGCTCTGTCAAGTTTGATCCTCTCAAGCGTGATGTTCCTTGCATACCCGGAACCGCCTTGCCACGTCTTTATTCTTGCTCCGTTTGTAGTTCCAGTGAAACTACAATCTTTCACATATATGTTGTCCACTTTGTTACTAGCTCCATCTTCTCCCAAGCTTCCAACACTGCTTGCAAAATATGATAACATATACGGCATCACGATTGGCATTCGGCGATATTTATTTAACAATTAATGGAAGATAAGAGAACAGAGACATACCTAATTCCATGACATGGCTCGAGAAGGAGGTGTCAATACCGTCAGTGTTTGGACTGTCTTCAGGCGCATGTATGTTCAAATGCGATACATCTGTGTTGTCACAACTATTTATACCAATATGCACTTGCGGGTTGTTTAGAAAGGTGAGTCCGCTGACCTTGAGGTTTTGGCTATTCTGGAATTGCAGTGCCTTCTGTGGTTTGCAGTCGTTATCCCCCAACAGCTTGCGCAATCTCCCATCGTATTGGCTAGTGCTCCACCATGCAGCACCCTGGCCATCGATTTTTCCTGAGCCGTCAAGCAATAGGTTTTCGACGTTCAAAAAACTTAGCCAGTCCTCCGAATCGCATTCTTTCCATATGCAACACGCGCAGGTGCCAACAAATTTCCTAGAACTTGAAGGTGAATGTTCTGTGTATTGCATGGGCCTTCAAATTTTATATGTTGCAATAAGAACGTTTTCCCCTCCAGCACAATAAGTGTTGGTATGCCATTACTAGCTTCATTAATTCATTGACATAAATCTTTCCATGCATTCACAAAAGCTGGGGAATCATCCGTTCGCCCGTCTCCCACAGCACCGTACTTGGTTATTTCCAGTATTTTTTGGCTATGTGCGATGCCAATAAACAACAACAAAGCGAGGAAGAAGAAAATCAAAATGCAAACGAGTGTGTTGATCATCGACATTGTTTGCAAAACAACGAATAATTCCCAAAGATTTGAAACTATAGCTTTCTCAAAGCTAGAACATTAGAACATGTTGATCGTTGGAGTAAACAATACAGTGGTTCTACATGTGTTTATATACTAGTAAACTTACTTTTTTTGAGTAATATGTTCCTTAAATTACAATTGTTTTGGTTACTTCCCCATTAAAAATTAGTAGCAGAAGTTGTAGGAGTGAAATACCCTTGAATTGTTAGAACAGGAAACCTAACAATTTGAGGACAAACTAAGAAATTGCCAGATTTAACTGGAATAAACCTCGTTTACGACGGAATGTGTATGTTATCTCCACCCCAAAGGAAACTTACATTACAAGTACAGGGCCGGAAAAAGAACGGGATTCAAGCTTTTAGAGGAGGAGCGCGCTGATCTAGCCAACTTGCCTAATTCTGAAGGAGATATTGTTTAGGTTTAGGAATAGCAAAGTGCAACAATAATTGAAACCAAAACCCCAATTCCACCAAATTAAATTCTATTTATTTGAATGAGGAACGATCGATGTTGTAAACTTTTCGAGCCAACCTGATGCAGTCCAACCAGTGCAACATCTCCACGTTGGGGTCTCTCTCGATCACGACGTCCGACACCGTGATTTGCGTAACGCCCCTGTAGCTGGTGATCTTCCCGCGCACTCTGGCCACCACGCCGAGCTTAATCTCGGCAGCGAAGCGCATTGCGTTTTGGGCAATAAGTCGAACATCTGGCGGGCTGCGGCGGGAGAAGTAGGGGGAGGAGAGCTGGTTGAGCCAGAGAATGCAGCTGACGCAGCCGGTGCCGTCGTCGATGGTGAACCTGAGGAACTTGTTGGGTTTGAGGTAGTGAGAGGTGACGGTGCCGACGGTCTCAGCGCGGGAGAGGAGAGCGCCGTTGCGGGAGAAGGAGATTGGGTCCGAGGAGGAGGAGGAGGTTTGGGTGAGAGAGTTGAGGTCGAAGGCCAAGAGTTTTACGTGGGTGTTGTATAGTGAATGCTCCATCGGTACAGAGATGAGAAATTTGAGAAAAAGTGTGAATTGGGTCCTAATGTAGGTAAGGGGAGAGAGAGACAGAGAGAGAGAGAGGGCGGAGGCAAGCGGCAGGAGGGGAGGAGGAGGCTGGGCTTTATGGGTTAAGTTTGTTCGCCGCCATTGATTCTGAAAAAGCTCTCTGCAATTCCGCAAGTTTGGGAACCCTGCACCTTCCCACTCTTGCAACGACGGAACGAAGCCGAGATATGCCGTCGGGGTTTATTAAACTGCACTCCATGTTTGCCCATAAATCGTAGGGATTTTTCTTTTTGGTCCTTCAACCTTTTTTCATCCCAAGTTGATATTTTTGACAAACAATAGCATTAGTGAGACTAAACTGTTAATTGTCAAGGAGGACGATCGATGGGGATCGAAGACATACCAAATTGATAATTTAACAATTGAAAATCTGTCTACTAAGGAAAGAAAGTGGCTACTTAGAAGTTCATAGAACTACATGATTACCTTTTGAAGACGATTTCGATAATTCATCTACTTTTTCAAGTGTCATTCACCTACTCTTAAGTGACAATTTTTATCCAGGTCTAGACATTTATACTGAAATTCGCACAAAACCAATGAAATCGAATATGTCAGTTTGATTTTGGAGTTGTTTTCCTAATCATCACTAAAACTGATTGAAATTGAAAAATATTTTTTTCACCTTACGAATCAACTAAAATTGAATTGCGCCTCCCAATAATCATGTCAACATTTATAAAGTTTTTTTATTTGATTTTTTTTTTAGTTTTATTAGTTTTTTTTTTTTTAGAGAAAATTAGAATACCCTACATCTTTTTTATAATGGTTGGATTAAACATTCATCCATTTTAAATATTTGATTAAGGTGCTTTAATCAATTACCACCTCAATAATTTTCTATTTATTTAATTTCCATGTCATTAATTTAAATGCATTTATATAGAGGCATAAGGTAGCTTAGCAGCTAATCACCTACAATATAGGAATTTAATTTCGTCAATCCCCTTCTACGCATTAAATGACATTTTTTTTAATAAAATAAAATAAAAAATTAATTAACTAATTCTCATTACCTTATTATCAGTATTTAAAATAAAAAAAATCTCTTTCTATTAAAAATGTCTCAATAAAAAGTCTTCAATACATATTTTTTCACGTATAGATATATAAAAAATATACTTAAAACTTATGGTACATTTGAGAACAAAAGTATCGACTTTTGGTACGTTTAGATTTCAAATGTACCGAGAAACCAAATGTATCAAAAATTCAAATGTATCATAAAACCAAATGTACCCATTGTTATGTAACCCTTTTGGTACGTTTAGATTTCAAATGTACCATAAAACCAAATGTGTCCATTGTCAAGTAACCCTTTTGGTACGTTTAGATTTCAAAAGTACAGAAAAACCAAATGTACCAAAATTTCAAATGTACCATAAAACCAAATGTGCCCATTGTTAGGTAACCCTTTTGATACGTTTAGATTTCAAATGTATCAAAAGACCAAATGAACAAAAAATCACAAATGTACCACAAAACCAAATGTCTCTATCAAACTGAAATTAATAACCAAAATTTTAGGAAAATGTTTGATCAAATTTTCAAAATGAGTGTATGTTTAGTCTAAACAATTAAAAAATGAGGCGCCTATATCAAAATATCCTAATTTTTTATTACTCAATGTGAATTTATATAACTGGATAGGTAAGGTCCACTCACATACTAAGAGAAAATTCAATGAAAAGACAACAAAATGACTAAATTAATTTGCAGGTTCTATTTTTAGTAATCAAATTGATGAATTTTCTATTTCAGATTTTAATTGGAAGTTTCAACTTTAGGGACCAATCGTGTTTAAAAATAAATAAATAAATAAATAAAAAGCCCCTTTTGAAATCGATTTATCAAAATTGGAACAGGCAAATAAGGACCACATTGGAACAAGCATCAAAGTTTAGGGGTCAAAAGCACACATGCGCTTTGAAAACGAATAATGGGCTTGAGAAGGCACATAACCCGAGTTGGAACAAGAACGACCCGAACGATTATCCCATTCCCTGGTTCTCTACGAAATCCTAAACCTAAACCCCTCTTTTGAAAATTGGGGGTAAATCAATTTCCAATCTTCCATAGTCCTACAAACCCTAATTCGGATGAACCAGACCCAAATTCTTGCCCAGCATGAAGAGAGCAATTCCATGGAGTGATGAGGAAGGAGATTCGGATTCCTCATCTGGGGAGTCATCAGATTCACCACCCTCCAAGAAAACAGCTTCACAAGGTACATATACATACACATATACATATACATATATATATAAGTATATTTGTATATTTACTGGTTTGGGTTTTGTCTGTTGTGATTTGTGTATTGAATTTGTTTTAGCTGGCTGCATACTCTGTTTTTTTCTGCAGGGAAATCTGGGAAGCCAAAGAGCAAAGTTGTGGACTTTGAGGCACTGAAGCAACATGGCTACAAAGGTGGGCCCTCGGTGCTGGCTGTGCCGCCACCGAGAGAGCCGGAGCAGGAGCCGAACTGGTCTTGGGCTACCGGCAGGGAGGACGGTAAGGACAGCAAGCCCGGAACCAAGAAAACCGAGGAAGAAGAAGAATCTTATGAACAGCGACAGAAGACGAGGGCTGCATTGGCCTCGGGAGAGAAGCTTGAAACTGCGCTGACCCGGAGCGATAAGCGAAACCTGTCCTTCTCGCAGAAGGAGAAGAGGAAGAGAGAGCTCGGGCAGGCAAGCAGGGGGAAGAACTATGTTGAAGAAGAGAAGAGGTTGCTGAGGGAGAGTGGCGTTTACTCTGGTTTTGATGCTTAAGAACTCCATACTGTAATTTGTAATTTGTCATTGATTTTCCCTTGGATTCGAAATGACGCTTTCAACAAAAAATTTCTGGGTTTGTTCAAGACAATCTCTTTCACTTATCTTAAATGCATAACTGATCGTACTTTTGCAAATCCGAATGAAAGTCTGCGATAAAATTAGCTTATAATGTACACAGGAGTCGAGTGTTCGATAGGTAAACTGCTCTGGTTAAGGTCACACGGTTACATCTAAACAACTGAAAACTCTTGGTGTTGGGTAAAATCCATGCATGTAAACATCCACCACTAGAAAGCCAAAAGAATGACGCAAGCATCACGCGATATGACCAAATTGCTCGATAGATGGTTACATACAGAAAGCCTTCTCGTAGTCTTGTTCGACAGATGCTCAACCGGTCTCTCTTTGTGAAGCCAATACGGTTACTGCTCAGGTGGAGATGTTGACCTATTGGGAAGAGTCCTGTATATTGCTCTGATAGTATTTGGAGTTGTTCTGCAACAGCCTCCAACAAGGGAAGCCCCTGCTTCACACCATTTGTTTACATACGAGACAAAATCTTCATCTGAAACCCCAGTGTTTTGCTGTAACGCGGAAAAAAAGAAAAGAGATCAGAAGAGTTGGTGTCTGGTCAAGAATATCACAACTACAGATTTCCCGCACTAATTCCACCTTCTAGATAACAACAATATGTTCACAGATAATTCTATCGAAAACACGAGACAACCATAGAAACTTCACTTACCACCCACATCTTTCTATCTGGATCATAGCTTTCACCACTATTTGGGTACACAATAATTGGTTTTGTAGCCACCTGAAGGATTTAAACATGAAAATAAGTACAGGAACTCCAAACAGAGTAATGTACAATTGAAATTATTCCCGGAAGCCTACAAATTGGAAATACGTCAGAAATATAGCATATGAAAATGCCGCAGGATATGTGCAGTTTGTTGACTTTTCATTGAACATTAAGAATTAGAAAATCTCAGAAATTGAAACAGTAAATACAGTTTAAAGTCACCAGAGGCGATTTTATTGCTGCTCCAACAGTTGGTCATATAGCTCAGTAGAAACTTTTATTGTTTGATCAAGATAAGGAACGTAAACTGAATTTATTCAAACGCAATACAAATAGCCTAAATGAATATACCTGTGTAATTAATGTTAACAGTCCATGGATAAATCTAGGGGGAGTGCAGTTGATTCCAACTGCAACAACTTTCTTGCATGATTCAGCAACTGTGGCGCATTCAAGGAGAGAATCACCACTAACAACATTGATGCCGTCTTTAGAGTTGAATGAAAACCATGCAGGAAGTTGCATGTTTTCTTCTTCCAAAAGCTCAGCATAAGCCTGCATAAACACCGAGCATGATTAACCGTGGGAAAAGAATAAACATCGAGTTAAAAGTGAAAACCAAAATTATGTCAAGATATTTTTTCCTTGAAAACAAATTAACATACATCTCTTGAGTAATAGCTCCATTTTTACTAAATTTCATATCTTTCACTTTCGGTCACATTAAGTGCTTACCAATTAAAACATTAGCCACCTAATGAAATGCTATCAGTAAGCGAGTCTAGTAAGAAGCCTAGAATAAAGAAATGTTGGCCTGTCAGATTTCCTCAACCAACAAGAACAAGAAGAAATTAAATGCTATCAACAAGCTTGCGATCATTACCTGAGCTTCCAGCTTATTTGGAACTGTTTCAAATGCAAGTAGGTCAGGACCTGATTCTGCTAGGATTTGGACCCTTCTCCGATGAAAATCTTTTAATCTTCCTAGCGTCATAGCCTCACCATAATTTCCACTGCCAAGGGACAGACCCAAAATATGAATATTAAAACAATAGCCTTTTCATGCAAATAACAGCAGCCAAGACTATCTAACTTCATCTTTCAAAGCTTTCTCTGGGATCAAAGGAACACAGTTTCCTAAGCGAAAATCCTACTCATATTACGTCAACAATACAGTTAGAGGACCTGAGACTGTTTACATGTGAGGTACTAGAACCAAAGCCAACAGGAATAATAGCTGATGCAATGAATTTTTATAGCAGAACTGACTCACCTGTACTCAGACCCATCAGCCAAATAAGCGCCATAGCTCCCCACAGATGCCGCAACTAAGATTGGCCGACGCTTGAGAATTCTACCATTTCCACTGTCAGCAGAAGAGCATTGAGTACATCTGTCGTAATAGATATCTCGTGCCTCTCGGGCAATTTCAACACTTTTCCTAAGCAAAGATTCACTCTCTTCTGTAGAAAAGCCTTTGGCCTTGAAACCTTGAATGGTGGCCTGCATAACAACTAACACTTTCAGTTTCAATAAAAAATATAAAATGAGAGAGACATCATCAGTTACCGGGATTACCTGATACGATGCTGTGATTATGATATCTGCACCAGCTTCAAGGTAATCAAGGTGTACCTGCTCCAATACGCAACAAAACAACACGGTACATGGTCCTATTAGTTAATCAAGTCTACACATGAATTACATTTAAATAAATCAATCTCCAATCTTTTGATTTCGTCTTCACAAAAGCTGAATCCTTTACACAAGAAAGAAAGCAAATGTTCAATCCTGCCTGACTTATCGA